TAGTTAAAGTAATGGTTACCTGGTAGTTAAAGTAGTGGTAACCTGGTAGTCAAAGTAATGGTAACCTGGTAGTTAAAGTAGTGGTAACCTAGTAGTTAAAGTAATGGTTACCTGGTAGTTAAAGTAGTGGTAACCTGGTAGTCAAAGTAATGGTAACTTGGTAGTTAAAGTAGTGGTAACCTGGTAGTTAAAGTAATGGTAACCTGGTAGTTAAAGTAATGGTAACCTAGTAGTTAAAGTAGTGGTAACCTGGTAGTTAAAGTAATGGTAACCTGGTAGTTAAAGTAACGGTAACCTGGTAGTTTAAGTAATGGTAACCTGGTAGTTAAAGTAGTGGTAACCTGGTAGTTAAAGTAGTGGTAACCTAATAGCTAAAGTAGTGGTAACCTGGTAGTTAAAGTAATGGTAACCTGGTAGTTAAAGTAATGGTAACCTGGTAGTTAAAGTAGTGGTAACCTAATAGTTAAAGTAATGGTAATCTGGTAGTTAAAGTAACGGTAACCTGGTAGTTTAAGTAATGGTAACCTGGTAGTTAAAGTAGTGGTAACCTGGTAGTTAAAGTAGTGGTAACCTAGTAGTTAAAGTAGTGGTAACCTAGTAGTTAAAGTAGTGGTAACCTGGTAGTTAAAGTAGTGGTAACCTAGTTGTTAAAGTAGTGGTAACCTGGTAGTTAAAGTAATGGTAACCTAGTAGTTAAAGTAGTGGTAACCTAATAGTTAAAGTAATGGTAACCTAGTAGTTTAAATAACGGTAACCTGGTGGTTAAAGTAGTGGTAACATGGTAGGTAAAGTAACGGTAACGTGGTAGTTAAAGTAGTGGTAACCTGGTAATCAAAGTAGTGGTAACCTAGTAGTAAAAGTAGGGGTAACCTGGTAGTTAAAGTAATGGTAACCTGGTAGTTAAATTAGTGGTAACCTGGTAATTAAAGTAGTGGTAACCTGGTAGTTAAAGTAATGGTAACCTAGGAGTTAAAGTAGTGGTAACCTGATAGTTAAAGTAAAGGTAACATGGTGGTTAAAGTAATGGTAACCTGGTAGTTAAAGTAGTGGTAACATATTGGTTAGAGTAAAGGTAACATGGTGGTTAAAGTAATGGTAACCTGGTAGTTAAATTAGTGGTAACCTGGTAGTTAAAGTAGTGGTAACCTGATAATTAAAGTAATGGTAACCTGGTAGTTAAAGTAATGGTAACCTAGTAGTTAAAGTAGTGGTAACATGGTAGTTAAAGTAGTGGTAACCTGGTAGTTAAATTAGTGGTAACCTGGTAGTTAAAGTAGTGGTAACCTGATAATTAAAGTAATGGTAACCTGGTAGTTAAAGTAATGGTAACCTAGTAGTTAAAGTAGTGGTAACATGGTAGTTAAAGTAACGGTAACCTAGTAGTTAAAGTAGTGGTAACCTAGCAGTTCAAGTTGTGGTAACCTGGTAGTTAAAGTAGCGGTAACCTGGTAGTTAAAGTAATGGTAACCTAGTAGTTAAAGTAGTGATAACCTGGTAGTTAAAGTATTGGTAACCTAGTAGTAAAAGTAGTGGTAACCTTGTAGTTAAATTAGTGGAAACCTAGTAGTTAAAGTAGTGGTTACCTGATAGTTAAAGTAATGGTAACTTGGTAGTTAAAGTAGTGGTAACCTAGTAGTTAAAGTAGTGGTAACCTGGTAGTTAAAGTAGTTGTAACCTGATAGTAAAAGAAATGGTAACCTAGTATACGTAGTTAAAGTAATGGTAACATGGTAGTTAAAGTAACGGTAACCTAGTAGTTAAAGTAGTGGTAACCCAGCAGTTCAAGTTGTGGTAACCTGGTTGTTAAAGTAGCGGTAACCTGGTAGTTAAAGTAATGGTAACCTAGTAGTTAAAGTAGTGATAACCTGGTAGTTAAAGTATTGGTAACCTAGTAGTGAAAGTAGTGGTAACCTTGTAGTTAAATTAGTGGAAACCTAGTAGTTAAAGTAGTGGTAACCTGATAGTTAAAGTAATGGTAACTTGGTAGTTAAAGTAGTGGTAACCTAGTAGTTAAAGTAGTGGTAACCTGGTAGTTAAAGTAGTTGTAACCTGGTAGTAAAAGAAATGGTAACCTAGTATACGTAGTTAAAGTAATAGTAACTTGGTAATCAAAGTAATGGTAACCTAGTAGTTAAAGTAGTGGTAACCTAGTAGTTAAAGTAATGGTAACCTAGTAGTTAAAGGAATAGTAACCTGGTAGTTAAGTAGTGGTAACCTAGTAGTTAAAGTAATGGTAACCTGCTAGTTAACGTAATGGTAACCTGGTAGTTAAAGAAGTGGTAACCTAGTAGTTAAAGGAATAGTAACCTGGTAGTTAAAGTAGTGGTAACCTAGTAGTTAAAGTAATTGTAACCTGGTTGTTAAAGTAATGGTAACCTGGTAGTTAAAGTAATGGTAACCTGGTAGTTAAAGTAATGGTAACCTGGTTGTTAAAGTAATGGTAACCTGGTAGTTAAAGTAGTGGAAACCTAGTAGTTAAAGTAGTGGTAACCGAGTAGTTAAAGAAATGGTAACCTAGTAGTTAAAGTAGTGATAACCTAGTACTTAAAGTAATGGTAACCTGGTAGTTAAAGTAATGGTAACCTAGTAGTTAAAGTAATGGTAACCTGGTAGTTAAAGTAGTGGTAACCTAGTAGTTAAAGTAATGGTAACCTGGTATTCAAAGTAATGGTAACCTGGTAGTTAAAGTAGTGGTAACCTGGTAGTTAAAGAAGTGGTAACCTAGTAGTTTAAGTAACGGTAACCTGGTAGTTAAAGTAATGGTAACCTAGTAGTTAAAGTAGTGGTAACCTAGTAGTTAAAGTAATGGTAACCTAGCAGTTAAAGTAATGGTAACCTAGTAGTTAAAGTAGTGGTAACCTAGTAGTTTAAGTAACGGTAACCTGGTAGTTAAAGTAATGGTAACCTAGTAGTTAAAGTAGTGGTAACCTAGTAGTTAAAGTAATGGTAACCTAGCAGTTAAAGTAATGGTAACCTAGTAGTTAAAGTAATGGTAACCTAGTAGTTAAAGTAGTGGTAACCTAGTAGTTTAAGTAACGGTAACCTGGTAGTTAAAGTAATGGTAACCTAGTAGTTAAAGTAGTGGTAACCTAGTAGTTAAAGTAATGGTAACCTAGTAGTTAAAGTAATGGTAACCTAGTAGTTAAAGTAATGGTAACCTACTGGTTAACCTAGTGGTAACCTGGTAGTTAAAGTAGTGGTAGCCAGGTAGTTAAGTAGTGGTAGTTGTAGTCGGGGTTAACCAATGCAGCCAACTGGTAAAAGCGTTCAGTCAATTCGGATTGTGTAGAGGCCAACCTTGTACTCTCGGCGTGATTATGTTTGAATAGTGTTAAAAGGTAGATAATTTTTTAATTTGAAGTTTACACGATATCCGGCTTTTCCATTGGACGAGAGGTCGGTCACATGAGCGCGAAATGGACGCAAGCTCCGACGTTCATACAGTTTGGCCCTCAGTCTATGAAGGTTCATACTCCAATGAACTCACACAAAGCGAAAGTCATTTCTTAAGTAAACGTTCACTCGCTTACTCAGATGAGTATGATGGCTGTGTTGCAGAAATAGCTGGGCCACCGTCTGTACGTCATGGGTATTGGCGATGTGCCAGGGTGGCGGCACCCAGGACTGAACACTAATAACGCAATGTTTGGGGCGGTGGGGTACCCTAGTGGTTAAAGCGTTCGCTCGTCACGCCGAAGACCCGGGTTCGATTCCCGACATAGGTACATGAGTGAAGCCCATTTCGGGTGTCCCCCGCCGTGATATTGCTGGAATATTGCTAAAAGCTGCGTAAAACCATACTCACTCGCTCACTTAAGCAATGGTTTTTAAAGAACCTCTGTTTTGAGTCGGTTAACCTTGCAGGTTCATGTCCTGAGATGTTGTATACTTAATTTATGTGTTAGTTTTCAAACATTATTTTATCTTTATATGACACGTTTGCCGGTATATGGTTATGCATGTCTATTGTGTTGTTCGTGTATCTGGTTTTAAAAAAACATACTCGAATACATACGGTGCGGTGGACCAGCTTATTGGTGAACACATTCGCTCGTCACGCTGAAAGTGAGTGAATGAGTGAGTTGGGTTTAACGCCGTTTTTAACAGTATTCCTATCATATCACGGCGTGTCAGCTTAATATGGGAGGAAAGCCCACAGGTCTTAGACGTTTACCACTTCGGTGAAACCCACGAGCACGGATATGGTGCTGACAAACCTAGATACATAATCGGGGCGAACTGGGATTCGAACCCACAATCAAAGTTTTCTGGCGTGGCCAAGGGACGCAACTCTACACACCGAACTGCGGCGCCTAAGACGGCTGGGCCACCCGTGCCCCGTCACGCTGAAAGCCAAAGTTTGAGTTGCCACAAGGGTACAATAGAGTGATAGAGTGGGTACGTTTTTGTTGTTTCGCCGCATTCAGCATTATCGTGGTGGCTTGTTAACACATACAGTCTTGGCCAGTAATTCCATTCGTTAGTAGCATTAACTTCCCTCCACTCCGTTGAGGTACGATGACACGTCATTAAGCATGTCACACGTTGCTACCATTCGACATCGTTTAGTCAGTTATTGCCAGAAGTATAGAGTACTAGTGGAACATCCATCCCTGATAATCACTGGGGGTGTTTGTTAAAGGCACTGCAATTCGCTTGTGCAAAGTTGCGTCCCTTGGCAACGCCAGAAAACTATGATTGTTGGTTCGAATCCCGTTTCGTCCCCGATTATATTTCAAGCACCATGCTTTTCCTCGTTGGCTTCGCCAAGGTGGTAAACATCTGAGACCTGCATCACTTCGAGCTTTCCTCCCACGCCAAATGACACGTCGTGATATCAACTGAATATTGTTCAATGCGGGGTTTAACCCAACTCGCTCACTCAGTCATACTTTGTGAAGGGACATTGTGAAGTAGTATTTTGTTTCTTCTGTTTTTGAGAGTTGACCTCGTTTCTCGAACAGACGCAGGACTAATATAAATGTAATTATATACAAACACAGATTTAACAGTTTATTCATTTAAACGAGATAAGAAGTGTTTAACCTTTGCGATGTCTGAATTATAGATCATCACATAATCTGTCATTACGCACTCGGATCCACTCGGCTTATTCCGCTGCCTCCAAATAACTTCGGACAGCTCTGGTGTAGTGGTATCACGTAAGTTTTAAAATTATCTTTGCACTGCAGAAGGACGTTTCAATATATGCTTAACAGAATCAATTCGATTTGAAAATAACTGCAGATAGAAAAACGTTCAGCATATACAACAGGTCGGCAACGGTCATGTGACAGTCACCTGAAAAGAATTATTTCCAATATGGATTCTTCCCTGCGCTGGCAGAGATAACTTCTTAGGATTCAGGAGAATCGAATGACCTGGCGTGTACATAATAACCTGTATGCAGAATCGATGAGACAGAGACACATTGCCACTGAGTGGGTGACTGGGCGTGTTTGATATACAACATGGAAATATACCGATATTATCAGAAATAACAAAAAGAAAAAAGAAAAATATGACCTAATCTTCCATGACTATGATAAATAATACTTGAACACATCGAAAGTGAGGCTTTGATCAAACGGCGTATGAGTAACTATCCAATGATTAAATTAGCTAACATTAAATCACCTTGCAAAGATCCTAAAAACGTACAGTACATTGGTAACACAGGCCTCAATTCGCATACACATGAAACTCGTTACTTTTGTCAACAAATACATCCAACTGGTAACAATCACAGGAGAACAAAACCACAGAATGCTGGCAGTCTGAGTACCACAATCAGATAACTAAACAACATTGATCAGATCCGTGCATATGTAAAATATTCCAACCCTGTGCTCATTAGAACATGCTTGAACATGCGTTACATTTTGGGATGAATGAGACAAGATAACGAAACAACGATGTGAGTTAGATTATACGGCGCTTCAAGCAATATGGTTTTCTAACGATTTGGACACATATGAAAAAAAGAAAACTGACCAAAGCGTTCCTTAACCAATATGAAATTAAAAGTATGTACAGAGAAAAAGTATTTGAGAAAATAAAAAAAATCAAGTAATCGATGACATACATGTTTTTGTGGTAGATCTTCAAGGTCGCTGACAATGGCATCTAATTCTCTTGAACATTTGTGTATTGTTTGATGAGCATTACTTAGAAGTTGACGGATGACAAAGTAGACACAATTTATGGATAACAACTTCTTTAATTACTGTAAAGGTGACGTTTCGGTATAGATCCTCATACCGTTGTCAAGCAAGACTGTGTGAACCAGTACTGCTTGACAACTATAAGTATCTGTAGCCGCTTTACAGTAATTAAAGAAGTTGTTATCCCTAAACTGTGTCTACTTTATTTTTTGCGTACTTTTTAGAATATAATACATGCAAATTTATGTTACTTTTATTTGCTACTCCTTGTTCAATGATCATCTTACTTTTGTGCTAAAGATGTAGGTTTTTGGTTTCCCATAGAACAGATCACAACTGATTCTAGTCATACTTTTCTATCTATTTCAGGAATAGTTTAAAATACAGTTGGGTACCTGCAACGCTGACAGCAAATACAATGAACGCCATCACCCCACGCCCTTCCCAACCTTCAGTATATATACCGAAGCCCCAGCAAAATAACCCCTTCATTCCCCACCCTGACAACCCCCGTCCCAGTAAGTCCTACTCCATCCTCTACTGACACATTGTTGAGACCAGAAACCCCACTGACGCCCCCACCCCTACAGACAACGAGGGCCGCCATAACCCAAACCCTTCCTCTACCCCTATGCAAAATGTTGCACGTCCCCTTTAGCACTATCTAACCCCCTCCACCCCCTTCCCCAACTCTATCCCACATAGGACGTGAGCCTTTTCCACCTCACCCCACCACCAACCCCGCCCCTACAGGACACACCGCCTGCCCCAGTCTTCACTGTAACAGACAGCGCTAGTCGTACTCGGAGCCGATGGTGATGCTGACGTCGCCAGGGTGGATGAAGGTGGAGTGGTACCACTCGTTTGTGTCGAGCACAACTGAAACACACAAGAAGTACATGTAGGCTCTGTGCACTCGGGCACAAGGGACACAAAATCAGATTTCCAGCCATTGAACCTTTCTTCATTTTCCCAAATTATACACCGCAGAGCCTTTATATTTCGGATCCCGTTTTCTGGAAAGCCGTTTGCACACGGTTCTCCTACTGGTAACATAGTAGACTAATATCTAGTCTCTGAAATGAACATATTTCACAGAAAAAACAGTTGTTAAAGTATAGTGATAATATATAGTAAAAAGGACCCCAGAGACCTTCTTAATTTTCAGATACAGCAGTAATCTAGACTTGCCAATTGGCAAACATTATAGACTTGCATGGGCTGTATTGGATATATTTGTTTTAGGGTCTGTATGACAGACTAGCCACATATTAAAGGCGCAAGAACATATTACCCACTTTGTTTCATCAATACTTAAATCAAATTCTTTTTTATACTGGGCAACACATTCCAGACGCATTGCGGGTATAACCCTGTCTTGTGCAATGATATCGGAAAAGGGTAATACCAATGTGTCAAACATATTGATACCCAGGACATATGTCGATAATAATCCATCTCTAGACATCGTAAAGATGACGCAACGCATTAGGGTTTCTCGCAGCGTGTGGCATATTCGTCCAGTCCTATTCATTCCGAACATGCAATCACTTTTAATCCCTTCATTTATCAACAATATATAACAAGTCCTAATTTCAGTAGTCCATATTACAGACCCAAGATCGTAAAGTTAATAAAACAATCACCGAATTGCATCTTCATCCCCATTCCCAGCTCCAGCAGCCTTTACTCTCCAATTGTCATCCCCTTCCCAGCTCTAGCAGCCTTTACTCTCCAATTGTCATCCCCTTCCCAGCTCCAGCAGCCTTTACTCTCCAATTGGCATCCCCTTCCCAGCTCCAGCAGCCTTTACTCTCCAATTGTCATCCCCTTCCCAGCTCTAGCAACCTTTACTCTCCAATTGTCATCCCCTTCCCAGCTCTAGCAGCATTTACTCTCAAATTGGCATCCCCTTCTCAGCTCTAGCAGCCTTTACTCTCTAATTGTCATCCCCTTCCCAGCTCTAGCAACCTTAACTCTCCAATTGGCATCCCCTTCCCAGCTCCAGCAACCTTTACTCTCCAATTGGCATCCCCTTCCCAGCTCTAGCAACCTTTACTCTCCAATTGGCATCCCCTTCCCAGCTCTAGCAACCTTTACTCTCCAATTGGCATCCCCTTCCCAGCTCTAGCAGCCTTTACTCTCTAATTCTCATCCCCTTCCCAGCTCCAGAAACCTTTACTCTCCAATTGTCATCCCCTTCCCAGCTCTAGCAGCCTTTACTCTCCAATTGCCATCCCCTTCCCAGCTCTAGCAGCCTTAACTCTCCAATTGCCTTCCCCTTCCCAGCTCTAACAACCTTTACTCTCCAATTGTCATCCCCTTCCCAGCTCCAGCAGCCTTTACTCTCCAATTGTCATCCCCTTCCCAGCTCCAGCAACCTTTACCTTCCAATTGTCATCCCCTTCCGAGCTACAGCAGCCTTTACTCTCAAATTGTCATTCCCTTCCCAGCTCTAGCAGCCTTTACTCTCCAATTGTCATCCCCTTCCCAGCTCCAGCAGCCTTTACTCTCCAATTGTCATCCCCTTCCCAGCTCTAGCAACCTTTACTCTCCAATTGGCATCCCCTTCCCAGCTCTAGCAACCTTTACTCTCCAATTGGCATCCACTTCCCAGCTCCAGCAGTCTTTACTCTCCAATTGTCATCCCCTTCCCAGCTCCAGCAACCTTTACTCTCCAATTGGCATCCCCTTCCCAGCTCCAGCAGCCTTTACTCTCCAATTGGCATCCCCTTCCCAGCTCTAGCAACCTTTACTCTCCAATTGTCATCCCCTTCCCAGCTCTAGCAGCATTTACTCTCCAATTGGCATCCCCTTCTCAGCTCTAGCAGCCTTTACTCTCTAATTGTCATCCCCTTCCCAGCTCTAGCAACCTTAACTCTCCAATTGGCATCCCCTTCCCAGCTCCAGCAGCCTTTACTCTCCAATTGGCATCCCCTTCCCAGCTCTAGCAACCTTTACTCTCCAATTGGCATCCCCTTCCCAGCTCTAGCAGCCTTTACTCTCCAATTGTCATCCCCTTCTCAGCTCTAGCAACCTTTACTCTCCAATTGGCATCCCCTTCTAAGCTCCAGCAACCTTTACTCTCCAATTGGCATCCCCTTCTCAGCTCTAGCAACCTTTACTCTGCAATTGTCATCCCCTTCTCAGCTCTAGCAACCTTTACTCTCTCATTGTCATCCCCTTCGCAGCTCCAGCAACCTTAACTCTCCAATTGGCATCCCCTTCTTAGCTCTAGCAACCTTTACTCTCCAACTGTCATCCCCTTCTCAGCTCCAGCAACCTTTACTCTCCAATTGGCATCTCCTTCCCAGCTCTAGCAGCCTTTACTCTCCAATTGTCATCCCCTTCTCAGCTCTAGCAACCTTTACTCTCCAACTGGCATCCCCTTCTAAGCTCCAGCAACCTTTACTCTCCAATTGGCATCCCCTTCTCAGCTCTAGCAACCTTTACTCTGCAATTGTCATCCCCTTCTCAGCTCTAGCAACCTTTACTCTCCAATTGTCATCCCCTTCTCAGCTCCAGCAACCTTAACTCTCCAATTGGCATCCCCTTCTCAGCTCTAGCAACCTTTACTCTCCAACTGTCATCCCCTTTTCAGCTCCAGCAACCTTTACTCTCCAATTGTCAGCCCCTGAACTGAGGCTTGCTGGTATCTGCCTGAATTAGTTGTATTTAACATTATACATCATCTAAAGTTTATTTCGGGGACTATATGTTAGTGTACAGATATGAGGCACTTACTTATGTCCCCCTTCTTGACCGTGACGTTCATGGAGGGACAGATAGAATCGCACTCAGGACTGGGGACCAGGGTCCACGTCTTGGCCCCGGAGATCTGGGCCTGCCATGACGGCCTCATCACACTGTCCAGCTGGAAAGGAACAGTTCGCACACTAAGTCACATCCTTACAGTAAGGCCACACTCTATTGATTTTATGTTTCACGGATGTATGACAGCTTTTCCAAACAGGGTCGGTCGAAATAAAAATATAAATAAAGAGCTATGTCAATCATTTATTTATTTATATGAAAGTAATTCTGCCTTGGAGTTCAAACTGCAGCTGGCTTTTTGAATCACTGATAGTGATGTTTACATGGAATTGATATATAACAATTTATATTTTATAAGAGGGACTATATTACTAGCGGAAGACATAATAAAAATAAATATTTTTATGTTTTATTTCTTTCTTTTCCAGCTGTCACTCAGCATGGGCGGAGGGCCTGTGAAACGAAACATAGAAAATGTGTGTTGAGATATAGAAAAATGAATTTCCCATTTGATAACAAAGCCTCATGATGACACTATTATGATTTAACTTTGTGACCCAAATACCGTACACCTTTTCATTAAACGTCGGTGATACTATATACGCTTGGTTTATCGCAGATTGAACGTTTACATCAGGAATCTCCTTCCTAACGTGGCACTCACATGAACGAAAGCCCCAACGCCCGGGCCCCCCATGAAGATCCAGTCTATGTTGCTGGACTCGGAGTCTTTGGGGAGGAAGTAAGGGCGCTGGTAGTGACTCCGCAGCTTGGCCGCGACTTCCCGGTTACAGTTACTCCTGGAACGCAATATACATACTTTACGGTACGAGCGAACAGGGACCGTTTCTGGTCCTGAATACCTACTAAGGTCAATCCCCGTGAAAATCCGGGTTAGAAATGGTCTTAGGCAACCCATGCTTTGCTGCAAGAGGTGACTATATTTGTCCTAAGAGGCGAATACCGGGATCAAGCTCGCTGACTTGGTGGATGCATGTCATCGTATCCCAGTTGCGTGGATGCATGACATCGTATCCCAGTTGCGTGGATGCTCATGACATAAATCACTGGATTGTCTGGTCAAGACTCTATTATTTACAGACCGCCGTCATATAGCTAGAATATGTCTGAGTGCGGCTTTAAACAACAAATAAAAATAATAAATAAACTAAGGTCAGTCTAACTTAATTACAGGTCACAGCAATTGTCCGCCTGACATTGTGGTCATCCAATCCCCGAATCACAGAAATTGTCCTCCTGGCATTGTGGACATCCAATCCCCGAATCATCTTTTACAACTGGGGATACGGGGATATTCAAAGGTACATCGTCATGAAACGTACATCAGGTGACGCATTAGTGCAGGGATTCAGTTTATGTAATATGTTAATAGTATGCATGTTATTTATGCGTTTTGAGTGAAATATGGTACTTGTTGTTACCCTGTCTGGGGCTCGAGGATAAACCAAGGACTGGTCGGCTCAGAGTCCGCATACTGTGTCCGAGAGGGGAATGCAAGTGAAACCGCGGTATGGTGTCTCAGTGGGCCAGCTCTATAAAACCGGCTTTGTCGGGACTTGTACAAGCAGCCACACATACGCACACGCACGCACGCACGCAGCTCGATTATTAAGCCCAATAATCTTGAATGCGACGTCAAACCTCATTTCACCTCACCAGCGGCACATCAGACCATCAGCATGCTACCACATTTCCCGTTAGAATATGACATCTAGTTCCACGTTACATATATATCATGTATACTATACTTCATACCTACATATTCTGCGTCCGCATCACTCATTTATCAACTGCAACTGCTTACATGTTACACAAACGGCCCTATTTAAACAGGAAACACTGTCCTTCATGTACACAACACTACAATAATATTGTGTATCCGCTTCAATCTTTTATCAACCGAATCTACCAAAATATTAATCTTAACTATCACCATGTATTCTGCTTCTATGTTAGGCTAAGGCTTCATTTAAAAATATACATTTTTGATAGAAACAAATAACTCCATTTAAATTGAAAAAGAGCCCGAATGAGTTTGGAGATTCAGAACTCGAATCTGAGAAATTCTAGACTTGCTTCATTTAGGTATTTGGCATTAGAGAAAGGACTGGGCGGAAGGGAAACTAATATGGTTCAGGGACTGCGAGACAGAATAGTACCTCCGCGTCTAGTCCGGACCATTGGCAATGCGGCGTAATATCAGACACATTCATATCGCTCTGGAAAATGGACTTGATTATGCTTGTCGCAAAGACAAACCCGGACTTCAACAGAATTCCGTCAAACCGTCGAAATTTTGGTCGGTTTCTCTTCACGTCTTCAACACACGTTAGAAAAGTGAAGATGTGAGTTATCTCCCTTGGTCGGTACTCGCGTCCTTGGCATAGGGCAGCGTCCATCTTACCCCTACCCGTTCACAAGTACTCGATAACCCTTCAGAGCCCTACTCAATCACTCACTTCTATTTCAACATTTCAGTGTTTATCCTGAAACATCCCAGATCTGTGTCAGCAAGGAGGGAAACAATATCTAATTCACTGATAGATAAGTAGACCTCACTGCCAAGTAAAGACAAGTAAAGAATGTATTTTACGCGTCATCACTGCCGCCATGTGGACATCCCCACGACCGGCTGATGCAACACGGCATCTGTATCCGGTCCCGTTAATGAATGTCACACCTTCACGTGATGCTTGGAGCGACGCGTGATGTGCACATATGGTCGGGCTAATGACGTCGGATGCTTGACAGAACACTGCAGTCCGTTTGTAGATCGTGAACAAACCAATTAAATGATATACATTTATATGACCTTTTTTATAAAGTCACGTTAAATCACCGAAAAAAATAATGATGTGATAGGGAAACAGCATCACTTCTACGTTGGTTTAGTTTAATAATGTTGTTATGACATTGTTTTTGTATCATCCGAACTGTCGGCGCTTGTTCTAATGGTGTGTTGTTTGACGGACAGAGGGCTGATAACCTATATTTGAAAATATGTCTACCCTTCAAGGATCCCAATTTAGAATCATTTCTCAGCAACCTATCCTTGGCGTAAGGGGCGACTAAATGGATCGGGGATTCAAGCTCGGTGACTTGGTTGATTGGGTGCCATCGTACCCCGATATCGGGGATCGGTGCTCATGATATCAAACACTGGACTGTCTCACCAGACACGATTCTTGACAGACCGCCCTTGCAGCTACAGCTGCAATGTTTAACAAGCAAACAAACAAAACATTTTTAACACGGTGTGTGAGATTCTATCACAATTCCTTGAATGAATTGGACAGAAACTGACGGACAGTGAATCGAAAGAAAATCAAACAAAAAATAAAATAAATGAGTGACTTATACGCTTATGTTTTATCGTGTTGCGTAATGTGTTCACAATAGCAAAGTTGAATTAAGGTTTAAATCAGAAAGTTTTGAATAAAACATTAAATGTTATGATCGGTTTCGGATAACGCTTCGCGTAATCGGTCATCCAGATAATTTTCAGAATCACATTCATGTCCGATTGACGAACCTATACAAAATCGATTTAATCAAAACATGTTTATTTCTTTTCAGATGTTATGTGTGTGTTTACCTTAGCAATTGTAGTTAGGTGGACGACACGCTATGGACATTGTTGGGAAATACTTTGGAACGTCCCAATTGGAACAACCATGTTGCAATTGCTGTTTCGCCATCCGATTGTCTGCCAAGGTCACTCCCTGGGTATGAACAATTACATAGGCAGTGATGTACTATGAAGGAGATGCTGTTGCTTTGTTGTTTGACGCCACACTCGGACATATTCAAGATATATGACTTTTGTCTGTAAATAATCGAGTCTGGACCAGACAATCCAGTGACTGACATCATGAACATTGACCTACGCAATTGGGATACGATGACATGCATCAACCAAGTTAGCATCAGTCATTACTGTTTGCGTCGTTATGCAACATTCACTCCCTCAACCAGGTGCCTACATCACGGCGAGGTGCACCAAGGAAACCGCGGACGTCGCGAGTCAACGCTTGTTAACCGGAAAGTTGCAAGGCCAATTCGCGGGCAACGTCGAGATATCGTCGCATTTGATCCTATATAGTGAGTGAGTGAGTGAGTGAGTGAGTGAGTTGGGTTTAACGCCGCTTTTAACAGTATTCCAGTTATATCACGGCGTGCCAGCTTAATTTGGGAGGAAAGCCCGAAGTGATGCAGGTCTAAGACGTTTACCACTTCGGTGAAACCTTAGATCACGGGTATGGTGCTGACAAACCTAGAAACATAATCGGGGCGAACCGGGACTCGAACCCACAATCATAGGTTTCTGGCGTGCCAAAGTGACGCAACTCTGCACAGCGAATCGTGGCGCCTTAGACGACTGGGCCACCCGTGCCCCCCGATCCTATATAGAGCGCGTGCAACTGTAAAACATTAACTCGGGAATGCGGATGTAGCATAGGCTTCAACGACGCTACTTCAACAAACGTCGCCTTCTTTCGTTAAGAAGATGTCGACAAGGGCGTACTTCATTCGGAATATATCAATGTAATTCGTTGTGATTAAGTGAATTACGCCGCTTTCAGCAATATTCCAGCAATATCACGGCGTGGACACCAGAAACTGGCTACACACATTGTACTTATATGGGGAATCAAACCCTGCTCTTCGGCGTGACGAACGAAAGCTTTAACCACTAGGCTACCCGACCGCCCCAATTTGTCGTGATGGTATTGTGACAATAAATATCACGATGCATCCATATTCCGAGGGTAATATATGACAGAGAGAGCATCAAGAGCATCAAGGTTGTTTGTTTGTTTGTTGTTAAACGACGCACTCGGCAATATTCCAGCTATATGACGGCGGTCTGTAAATAATCGAGTCTGGACCAGACAATCCAGTGATTGATGTCATGAGCATCGATCCACGCAATTTGGATACGATGACATGCATCAACCAAGTCAGCGAGCCTGACCACCCAATCCCGTTACTCGCCTCTTTCGACAAGCAAAGTCGCCTTTTACGGCAAGTAGGGGTTGTTGAAGACCTGTTCTAACCGGGGGCTTCACAAGTTAAGTCTTTGAAAGGCATTTAGAAGTGATACACATAACGAAGAGAATTTATGAATGGTCAACTTTTTATTATTAGGAACACAACGTTTCGGAGTATGTACTTACTCCTTCATCACGCAGAGGGAGAATGGGTGTTCTTTTAGGCCGCACTCAGACATATTCCAGCTGTATGACAGCGGTCTGTCAATAATCGAGTCTGGACCAGGCAAACCAGTGGTAATAGCACCAGCAACGATCCACAATGAAACACAATCAGACAGGTTACACAACGTAACCACCCGATCCTCATCTTAGTCGGTTCTAGGGTCAAGTTGGGATGCTGGTGACGTACTCTGCCCCTAGAATATCAGCTGTGACCGTAACATATATTCTGTGAACTATATTTGAGAGTTGTTTATCGCCACGGTCAGCAACAACCTAGTGACTGAAACTTCAGAAAGTATTAACAATTTTAACGATCGACAGGGTATACGACGGCACACCACAGACCACGGCCACCAGGGCCCGGTTCAACAAAGCAATCTTAGCGCTAAGGTGAACCTAACTACCATACTTTAACTGGTATGTTTATATCAGTGACAGCAACATATGTACTCATGTCAAAATGCAGATCCATCAATCATCATGTGTCACTGCACTAGTAGTCACTAAACAATCCAGTGATTGACATCATGAGCATCGATCCAGGCAACTGGGACATGCATCGAAGAAGTCAGCGAGCCTGACTACCCGATCCCGTCAGTCGCCTCTTACGACAAGCATAGTCGCCTTTTACGGCAAGCATGGGATCTTCGCGGGTCAGTAGTCTTTAACAAAAGTTTATGTGTGGCTGAAATAATGCCGATGCAACGTTAGATTTCAACTCGCTAACTCACTTTAACAAAAGGTGTCTGCACAGGGAAGGCACCCCATTTTAACATTGGCTTACCATTGTCGTGGTGCTAAGATCGCTTTGTGTAACTGTGCCCTGATCTTCATTTTAGCCGGCTCTAAGGGCAATGATGAGACACTGGGGACCTATTCTGACCCGGAATCTCGCCTGCCAACTGGTAAAGGTACAAATGACTTTTACTCACCATCCGACGTACCAAGGATCTTCCCCGGGCTGTAGAGCAGCACGCTCGTCTGTCATATTCAACGCTTCTTCCAGGGTTGAGAACTCTGTCTTGTAGGGGATAAACTGACACTCCTCTTCCACGGACACCAGCGCTCCCTTTGTCCCCGTGTACAGCTGCTTAAAGAACTGGTAACTGAACGTCTCCATTGCAGTCCAGTTAGTTGTTCCTTCTTTGATGAGAACGGGCACTTTTGAGTAGGCATATTTCTCCATGAACCTCTCCGTTGATATACCTCTCTCGATAGGGACGGACGTCAAACCTCGACATATCTCGCAGTCTGCTAAAGGTCGCATCATCTCCGAAAGTAAGGGGGTGTTCGTTATGAGACATTTGGAGTCGTAAATATATTCCTCCAGGAGATCTCTAAAGCCGAATTTCGCGGCGATAACGACCGCCACTAACACTATCAACATTTGAGTCTGGAAGGCCGGGTTGGACATTAGCCCTTTCCATGTCCACGATTTGGTTTGTTTAAACGCTCGACTTATTTCACCGTCGCATAGACCCTTGCTCAAACCCTCCTTCCTGAGTTGAAGAAACTTCTCAATTAGTTCATCCTCTTTAAAACTGGCCTTCTTACCGTTCGTTTCAGTCATATTCGCAGCTCACCTGGGTACCTGCAATCAAGCTGTTTGTGTTCGCCGTGGGGTGAAGGGCGTTTGTACTTCCGTGTAAGTGACACAAATCGCTTAGCGGCTATGCTTCAGTGAATTCCTTGTACCTGGAAGACAAGCAGTGGACAGTGTTACTTCATGATAGCCTTGTTCAGATGTAGCAGAGCTGAAGCTACAGATACAAGCCCACAACTCCATCTATGAGGTACACGACATCACTCCCACCACCCCCATGTGTAGTGAAATGGATAAACGATTGGGCCAATGAAATGAGGGGCAGCGAGCAAGTCACACCCGGAGGCGGCATGACAACCTGGGTCACGGTGCTGGCCAAACGTCAGCGTCCGTCAGCCATGGGGATTACAGAGAACGCGCTGAACACATATATCTATGCTTTAACTTCGTGAAATGGGGTTCAACACCGCGTCGTTGTGTCGGAATGTCTCGGCGCTATGTTGGCATGCTCCTCACGCCGAAAGTACGGGATCGATTCCCGAAGGAATACATTTAAAAAAAGAGAATATTGATTGCCCCGTCGTGATATGACACTGATGTAAAGTTGATAGAAAACAGTTTTATTTGAATCATGAAAATACAAGTTGGACAAGTAATAACTACGGCCTTGATATCAGAAAGTCTACATTACTCGACGCAGTGATTGACCCTGTCGTTTTAGCCCCAGTGAAGTTGTCAAACGGGGGACTTTAAAGCCCGGGGGCTGTTGTTTTTTAAGCATGACAGACATGTCGATTGCAAAACCTGAGTAGCCAGTATTGGACAATAAACCCCATGTTTAAACTCGTACCACCAATAGCATTTTGATGTGAGTTAAATGGTGCATAAAAATCAATATTGATCTTCTGAACGTGCGTATTATCTTTGTTCGGTTTCTAAAACAGGACAGTCGTGGTCAGAGGAACTTCATCCCTTTAACTGATGTGTGCAAATGTCAGGCATTTCAGCTGTCATTTTCATTTCCTGAAACGGATGCTCGGTTTCACGTGACACTGCTTCTTAAAAGTAGAGATTCTCTTCTCGGGGGTTTTACAAGCTGTAGTGTCACCGATGATCTAGCTCAGATAACAAGTATGTCAGAATATAAGGAGAAATATTGTGAAAAACAAGTACAGATGTACGGAAGTAGACTCGACCGGCACAGTTAAAATGCCGGGCAAAAGAAAGAATACACCCATGTTTGATGGTAGCTAAAATGAAACAAACAAGAAATGGTTAATTGATGGTGATGTATTTTATACGGGTATCCTAGGCGATATTACATGCATCATATCGATGAGTGTCTCACAACAGGTGGCGTGCACATGACGTCTCACGAAGGAAAATGGGGATCGCAACTTCAAATCTAATTTTAAAGCGTACACTTTCTTTTGCTCGGCATATTATAATGTTCGTAAATATTTATTTCAGCAGTAAGTGGGTTTTATTTAACCCTGCTTTGAACAGTATATCAGTTATAACAGAGCGTGTCAGCTTGATGCGGGAGGAAATCCCATAAGGGCGCATGTCTATGATGTTTAACATTTCGATAAAGCCCACCATCACGGGTATGGTACTGACAAACCTAGAAACATAATCAAGGTGAACCGGGATTAGAAACCAAGAATAGATTCCTGGCGCCACTAAGGGATGCAACTCTTAATGGCAACGACACAGCTATTTGATTACATTCCTTGTTTTGAACGAGTAATCCTGTCCCAAGGGTCAGGAGTCGAAACGAACACCTACATTGTACAGCAATCCATTCTTTATGCATTATCCTTCAATATTTAAATTTCTAATATTTGGCCAAAGAAAATGTCTTCTTTTAGTCTTCGAAAGAACTAATATTTTTATTTCAAGTGAATGAGTTTGTGTTATGCCGCAGACATCAATCCCACATCACAGGCTCACAGCGATCTCAAGATAATCGTGTGGGCCCAGGTAAACCAGTGATCGAAGGCTTTAACCTTTAGCCTGCTGAATTATTTTCACACTTCTTACCCCTGCCTGCTGGATTAATTTTAGCATAAGGCGCTCTAAAGAGGGTGGGTGATTTCAAACAGTCGGTGCCTCATTAAACAAGGGCCAATTGAAGAAATATTTTGCACATTTATTCCTGATAGAAAACTACACAATTCTATATAAAAATATCCTGATGTTTTCAATCATACAAAAGTAAAGACCAAAGCGAACACAAAATTTGTAAATTTTCTTGAACTTACCTGAATTGCGTTATTGAAGGTGGTTTGCATTTCATGCTAGGAACCTTTTAATATCGTAACATTTGTGCAAATTGATTTCAATAATCATATCTCCGATATCTTAATTTTAATTGAGTAAAAATTCGGGTTTATAATCGGCATATATCAGCGCGATGGTAAATTATGAACCATTTTAGTGAATTTATTATCTAAACGTTAAACAGAAAAATAACTTAATTTTCGAGGTCATCATGTCGGTTGCAGAAATACGAATATTCGGGTTAATCTGACGTGTCATGTTATAAAATTTGCAGGAAACAATTAATGACTTATAAATATTCACTAATCCTAATTTAAAGCGTTTTGGTTGAATATTTACGATATACAAAAATAAACAACCCGTGTCATGATGCTAGCAGACGTCCTAAAATCAAACATGGCGCGTTTCGCCCGACCTCCGCATAACTTATTGCTATTTTAATATCAACAAAGTTTACATTGCCTTTATAAATATAACTTGGCGAAAGTTGACGATCTTCTCAATCGAAGAAGGTTTTATTCGTCATATTCCAATAAATATGACGAGAGAAAAATGAAAATAAAGATCGTGAGTTCTGACAGCACGATTTCAATAAGTGCAAAAGTCACCGGATGTGATGTCACAGACAGGGGTAGTCTGCTGATAAGCTTTCGAAACAAAACAATTACAGTAAATTTTGAAATAGTTCGCCTATCACATAGAGCAAAAATATAAGTCGATACACAGTATCAGTAATCACCACTAACATGAAATAAAAATGTGACTTTGACGATATAATTCGCGTATTAGTTAATACGTTGGACCTTGCATGCTCCCGTGACCCGGAAACGGTAGATGATAAATCAACATGCCACATGCAAGTTTCTCGGTATCTTTTATTTGAACTTCTGTTGATATTTAAGAATCACCATTCAATGTTGTGAATATAAATGGGACATGATTCATATTTCTGCGATGTACACGCTGATAAGTTTTACTACAACAAGTGTATCCCACGTAATATACGTCTATGGATATCGTCGATCAGCAAGATCACCCTCAACAACAGGTGCGCGAAAATGGGCTTGACAAAACGTGTTTCAAAATAACATCCCCGCGTTGCTGAATATGATAGGGTATATATAAGCAATAAAATGCTACGTACATATTTTCGGTGTTAGTTCCACATTACATTTAGGATAGTTTTCCTTTCGGGAATACATTCATAGATTCTAGCATGATTCTAGAACAGTTACACGAAGGATTTCTAAATTTATTCCAAAAATATGAAGACCACCATGATTGCGTATTGATGATAGATTTGTAATTGTTTAATTATTTACAGCTGTTTACAGGTTTTAAATTTTTAAGTTATATTTAATAGTTATTTTTCCCACAATGATGGTGTGTGGGGACAGTAAATATTAGTCTTTGCATCAGCACAGTGTAACTGATCAAACTTCAATTATTATCTTTAGTTTAAACATATTTATTCAACAATTATTATCTTGCACTCTGAAAATCAACTATGTGAATAAGTAACTCTCTGATGTCATCATTTAAATTTAAGTATTCCATGAATAATGAATAAATCAGATCCTTAACATATACATACTAAACTCATATGGACATTAATCTTGTGCATTATGTGGTTTGTTTCCAAATAAAACAATTCTGAAATATAATTTAATAGGAATTAATTTAATTTAATTACAGTAACAAGTACTTGTAACAGTACATGACATTTTTGTTTGTTTAATCACAAGAACCATGGTGGCACATGAGCTGGTAAGTTTGCCATAGGTTTCTTAGAAAATGCTATCTCAGTCTTCTGGTTGGAATGAAAAGAAACATGCCTGTGTACATGTTTACCCTTGCCAGATGTATTTTTTCCAGTCAGCCAATCCATTACTTTTGTTCACCTTATGTGGTCTATTTTATACATACAGGTACTGCTTCCAACCTGTTTTTTCTTTGTATGCAATCACAGTATCACAACTTCCTCAGCTGGTGTGTATAAAGGTTCCCCTGTCATCATGAAAAAAGAATTATAAAGGAAAGTCATATTTTCATTCAAAAACATATCTGTCTTTCCCTGATTACTCTTTGTCTAAGTGCCAGAAATGTCAGTGTCATAAAAAAAAATTTAAAAAGATTTTCATAAGGACTTTTCTTAGATAGACCTAGATCTAAGTCAAACCATGTGACTAGTTAGGTAGAATTATACTTATAAGCCCTCATTTCTGAGGTGTCCATATTTTTCACATTTTTAGGACTAAACGTGATCCGTGTAGATCTGCCTGTTTTGTTATGTAAAACAAATTCTTGTCTTAAAAAATGAGAAAAGGAATCATTCAGACGAATTTTTTTATCCCATTGATTCACGAAAATCAGTTGAAATGTACAGTGGTGACTTATGTACCCAAAATTTCTAGTAATTTGTTACCCAAATGGGTATGTGATTTTGTAGATCTACCTAAAATTATTTCAAAGATATACATTAATTTGGTGTCTTAAACTTAACATAATATCACTTTCCTATCAAAACAATTCATTCTAACTTAGGTTTAACCAACTTACTTGGCCTCTCCTTCAGTGACAAGACGTCAATTTTCTCTCAACACTAAACAATCAATTTCAAGGATCACAGTCATAATCATATTTGGAACTTGATGAAATATTTTATCATATGTTCTGTTCATCTACATGAAAACATAAATATAATTATAGACCTATTGTCTTTTTTTCTTAGGTACAGATTCACAAAGTATTTTGGGTACAATTTAATTTGTTTTGGGTACAAAATCACATATATAGGAGCCTACAATCTAGATCTATATATATTTACACTAGCCTACCTCGTTGTGTACCAGAATTTTATCGGTTCAGA